CCTCTCCTACCCACATCTGACTTAATTCTTCAGGCTCAGTCTTACAGTGACCCTATACAGGCAACTGAAACAGCCACAATTCATGAACGTTCTGGCTTTATTATGTCCCTAAAACAGTATTTCCAAAGCCAGTCACACGCCTTTAATCCTAGCACTTGAGAGGCAGAGGCAGGTGGATCTCTGTGAGTTTGAAGCCAGACTGGTCTACAGAGTGAGTTCCAGGACAGCCAGAGATATATAGAGAGATCCCATCTCAAAACACAAAAACAAAAAGGACAGCCTTTTTTTTTTTTTTTTTTTTTGGTTTTTACGAGACAGGGTTTCTCTGTATTGTTTTAGAGGCTGTCGGTCCAGCCTAGCCTCGAACTCACAGAGATCTGCCTGCCTCTGCCTCCCGAGTGCTGGGATTAAAGGCATGCGCCACCAATGCCCGGCCCATTCAGCTTTTTTTTTTTTTTTTTTGGTTTTTCGAGACAGGGTTTCTCTGTGGCTTTGGAGGCTGTCCTGGAACTCGCTTGGTAGTCCAGGCTGGTCTCGAACTCACAGAGATCCGCCTGCCTCTGCCTCCCGAGTGCTGGGATTAAAGGCATGTACCACCACTGCCCGGCTCAAAAAGACAGCCTTTTAAGACCGTTCTCCCCATCATCGGGTCCTTACATTCTCCCCACCCCTCTTAGTGGAAAGGAATGCTCCATGAGCCTTGGTGGGGGTCACAGGAGTGTCACTGGCTGTCAGCATCTTGACCAGCCACGAGTCTCTGCATTGACTGCCGCTCCCTGCAGACGGAAGCTTCTTTGATTAAGGCTGCACTAGTCTACAATGCAAATAGAAATATTTAGGAGGCAGTTTGATGACATATTAAAAACAAAAGTGCTATCTTTACCCCTAGTGCCTATGACTCCTTCAGCCATGTGCCTTTGACTGGGTTCACAGTAGCCTGCAGAGTGGACTTCAGAACCAATCTATAAGCAATTGGTTACCCTTAACTAGTGCGTCACTATTGCACCAGCCATGGGAAGTTGGCATTATGGCATGATCCAACTCTTGCTGGCTTTTCTCTCCCGGCATACCGACTTCCAGCACCTCGAACGCTGTTCCTTGAGGCTGGAATAGAAATGCCCAGCTCTGGTGATCACTAGAGGACTCTGGACAATTACACTACCGGGGCAGGAGCAGTGACCCCTCCCCGATGCTGGGCAGGGGAAGACACCGAGGAAAGAGACACTGTCGCTCTACAGTCTGTTCTCACCAGCCTGCCCCTTCCTCCGTAAAGGTCCTGTCCTGCTAAAGCCACTTTGCTTGCTCAGGCCTCAGGATCCCCATTTGAAAAACAGAACAACGGTCCTCCCTCCAGCCTGGCCTTCCACAAGGTTGGCTGTTTACCCGTTTGCTTGTTTTGAAGCTCATGTGTAAGTCCCCTGGAACTCACTGCTGTAGCCAAGGATGGCCTTGGACGCTTGATCCTCCTGCCTCCACCTCCCAGGTGGGTGGGTTCCAGGTGTGTGTCACCATGCCTGGTTTATTCGGCACTACTGGATCAACTGCAGGCCTCATGCATGTCAGACAAGCACTCCGCCAACGAAGCCATAGCCCCCAGCACCTCCCACCCCCTTAAATAGCTAAATCACCCTCCCATCTGCCTGTTCTGTTCCCAACCCCGTAGCCCACAGTTAACTTCCTAGTAATAACCATAACAGCAGCGATTCTACTGGCCGCGTGTGAGGAACCCCACTCAAAGTCGGTGGCACCCTAGACTTCATTGACCTATCCCACTGGCCCCAGAAAGAGTCCCTCTCATGGGCCTGTTCTATGGATGGGTATGTTGAGATCCAGTGGCCTCCTCTCATCCTACCCCAGGAACAGCAGTAAAGGCCTGGCTTCCCCACCAGCATCGTGAGGAGAGAGCTGCCAGGGAGGGGCAGGAAGGCTGGCTCTCCCAAGAGCTCATGGGCTGTCTCTTCTCCTTACTTCCTGCTTCTGCTTTCTGAGTGCTGGGATTACAGACAGGTGCCACCATGCCTGGTTTAACGCAGTGCTGGGGATGGTCTCTTTGAGCTTGGAAGGCCTTGAGTTTGCTGCATGGGTGAGGATAACCTCACAGTGTCCTTTAGTAAACAGTATAGCTCTCAGCTAGGTGTGTCGACTTAGGAAGCCCTTTGGAGTGGGCTGGGTCCTTCCTGGGACCTCATTCAAGGGATCTCAGGCTTCACAGCGCTTGATAGGCGCCAGAGGGGCTGTTGTGTGATGCTGATCCTAGCCCTATCTTCTGAGCCTCTGACTGAGAAAAGGCAGGAGCCCCAGGCCTTCAGCAAAATCCTTTGCCTGCTAAGCACTGCACACAGACAGGGCTGCAGTCCTGAACCACCACCTCGCAGGCACATGTCCTGGGGTCAACTGCAGCTGTGTTTTGGAATGTCAGGGCTCCTGTTGTGGGAACTAAAACGTAGAAAAGCTGATGGGGGAGGGGAGGGGCAAAATGGTTCAGAGGATAAAGGTGCTTGCTGCCAAACCAGACAACCAAAGTTGGATTCCAGGAACCCACGCGGTGGAAGAGGAGAACAGACTCCCTACATACGTGTCGTGGTACACTTGAGCGCACACACCTTCATAAATAAATAAATTTGGCTGAAGAAAAAAAAAGGCAACTCTAGGGCAATGTGGTAGTAAACAAGAGACTCCTTGGCTCGCACCTAGGGCACGGAAGGCCCTGGGAGGGAAGACTGCAGATTGTTCCGGTAGCAAAGGCTGAGGTGAGATGTGACACGGCCAAGTGACAATCAGAAGGTGCCCCTTGTACTGAGGCCACTGAACATGTGTCTTGGGGAGTCAAAGGTGGGTTTGAGTCCCAGTTTTGTCCATTTCCTCTAAATAACCTGAGGCTGGTGAATTTCTTAAGCTGGGCTACCGGTCTCTTGGAAAAGGCGAGGTGATAATATGTCATCCTCCTAGGGACAGGACTTTCCCGAAATGCCTGCAGAATCCCTGACTTAGCCCAGTAGGTCCCCTAGAATTCAAGCTTCAGAACCCACAAACCTGGGTCTGTCCAGGACCTCACAGTACTTAGGCCAAGCGTGCAGCCTGAGTCTGAGACAGGAGGTTTTCTTCGCCTTAGCATCTTGGGTAGAAAACCCCTCCTGGGCATCCTGGGCAGGCCAAATGTGTCCCCCAGAGAACCAGCTAAGCCCTGCCCCAGCTAGCAACTGAGCCATCTGGCCTTCTTGGCTCTAGAACCCAGACAGAAAGCAGGGAGAATGGCCTGGAGGGGACCGCAGGGCGGTGTGGAACCTGGACCAGGAGACTTAGACTGCTGGGCAGACGCCCCGACTACCCCAGAGCCTTTGGAGGAGGGTCCCAGCAGAGGTGAGGACTCCCGGGGTTGGTCTATCTTTGAGAATGACCCTCAGATAGTTGGGCTTATTAGGAACCACAGTTGAGGGATGAAGAGGAAAACTGGGAACCCCAACGAAGACAGGACTTCAAGGTGTTCAGTATCAAGCTCTAAGCAAGCAACCCCTCCCCTCGAGAGGAAGTGGAAAGGGCAAGCCCCTGGCCTAAGGCCACACAGCAGGGGAGAATAGGACTCTAACCGGGGTTTGGACTCAGCTTTCTCTGTAAATTGCTGCTCTTAACCCCTTCCTAATCGGCTCTCTACCGCAAGCGAAGTTGCACGCAGAAGGACGGAAGGGGAGGGAAGATTTTAAAGGAAAGGCACCCGGCGGGTTCTTCCCACGCCCCGGTCACCCCGTCCCCTCCGCTGTCGAGCTGGGAGGTCCACAGCCGCCTCTCCCTCTTGCGCGGCTGCCCCCGCGGTGCTGCTGAGCCCGCCCCGAAGCAGCTTTCTCTCATCAGGACCCCGGGCGTGGGGACGCCTTCCGACCCACGAGGCCCTGAGGGAGCTCGCACCGAGCGGTGGGCGGCACAGTAACCGCCCCCCACCCACCCACCCACCCAAGGGTCACTGAACGATTGACCAGGCCGTGCAGAGATGGACGAGTGTCGCACGCCCCGTCCCCAGGGTGGGCGCGCGGGCTGTGCGCGTGGGTCGCCGGTTCCGTGCGGCGGGCCTTGCCCGCTCCCTCGCTGGCTTTTTCCTTTTTCTCGTTCCTTTTTTTTTTTTTTTTTCCTGGAGCGGAGCCCGGCGCCAGGAGTCTGGAACCGGCCTGACAAGCTTTTGAGTTATGGGGGAGGGGCGGCGCGCACCCCCGCTGCGAGGCGCGCCCCGATCCGGCGCGAGCCCGGGCGGCGGCGCCAGCGGCCCCGAGAGCCGCGCGAACCAGGCCGGCCCGGGGCGCGGCCGCCCCCGCCGAGCCAGGCATTCCTTTCCGCTGAAGTTCTGGCCCGCTTGCAGCGCCCCGGGCGACCGGCCTGCTAAGCGGGGGTGGGGTCGGCCCCCTTCCACCCCCGGGAGGTTCTTCGGTTCCCTGCGGGCCCACTTGCCCCCCTCGCTGGTGGTCCCCCCACCCCAGTGCGGTCTTTTGTCCCTGTCCCCTTCACCCCCGGTGGTGATCTCTCCCACGGTTTGGACCCATCCCTCCATCTCGGTGTGGTTTCTTCTGTCCCTGCCTGGTCCCCTCCACTCCCTAGCTGGTCCTTCTCTAGCCACTGCTGCTTCTCAAGCCCTTGTTTGGCCAAGAAGACCCTGCTTTCTGCCGGCCGTTGGGGACAGTGTCCAGAGTCCCAGAATCTCCTTTTTTATCTTCTCCATTGTCTTTGGGCCTGGTGGCAGCACAGGGAGTGCAGAGGGAGGGACTTGGCCACTGGCTGATCCTGCCCAGAGGGTGACAAGTACTCAGATTTCTCAGAGAGGGCACCCAGTGGGCTAGCAGCTCACAGGACCCAGAGCCTTTGAACCTCTGGGTAGCTTCTGCGCACGGGTCTCTCCCGGGTGCGGGCAGGGATCTACAAGGGCCGGCATTCCCATCAAGACACCATGCGCCTCTACCCCTCCTCTCCTTTAGGGTGTCCAGCCAGACCCTCTGACCACCCATCCCGCCCCACCCCCAGCCCGGTGACTGTGCAGTGTCTTCTGGCCTGTCGCCAGCCAGACCCATCTCTGTACAGCCAAGTGGCCTTTCCCTTCCCTGTAGAGGTGCAGGGCTCTGCCCTTCTGCAGGCCCTCCCAGAACCTTGCAGCAGTCTGAAGTCTGTTAACAACAGGTCTGGTCCCCTGATACAAAGTTTCTAAAGGCCCAGTCGGTCCAGAGGGCACAGGGCCTAACCAGAGGCGAGCCTTCAGCACAGGGCCACTTGTTCCTTATTACTGAGAGACTCGCCAGGCCCCACAGGCCCCACTCCCAGTGACCCTTGACTGCAACTCCAAGAATGCAGGGCCTGTTCTAAAGCTGAGCAGACCGGCCCCTCCCCCGTGCCCCGCCAAGCAGAGTGGAAACCAAGCCAGACCAAGCTGCTGAGTAGAAATTTCCAGTCTCCTTGGCATAGCTGGAAGGGTAAAGCTCGGAGCTTCAGCTGGGCAGGCTCGGGGTACTGAAGTGGGGAGGGACCCCCAGATGTTCCGCAAGCTGGCTTCCAACCCCCAAGCAGCTGAGACATGACAAAGGCCGTTGTCCTGCGTAGCCAGTGGAAGCCCGGCCTTTCTGTCGGCCCTTCCCCTGGGAGTCCATCAGGGACAAAGCCGTGTGGAAGACAGGCTACAAGGTCTCCCCAGAAGCACCCGGCACAACTGTTTGTCTGGGAGTAAACTGCTTGCTCTAGCGAGTAGCCCGCTTGTTGGGGCCAGCTGGCTTCTCAGGGACAACTCTTGTTAGTCCCTCGGTTACCTAGAGGGACAGGAACCTCCCAGTTGTGTCCCCGCCTTAAAAACAACTTGAATTGGGATTGCTTGTCACACGGGCAGAACTTCGCTTTGTTCGAGGGGCTGTGTGACCTAGCCGAGTCACTCAGCCTCTCTGGGCCTTGTTCCTCAAGTACATGAGGGAAGTAAGCATTGCAGTGGGAGGGGACAAGCTGGGTCCTGCTGTCTTGATCTATGTCTGAGTGAGATGGAAGGGAGACGGAAAGAGAGGGGGATGGGTGGTACAAGGACAGATGGACAACGGGTGGGGTGTGGGGGGGGGTAGGTGAGTGAATTCGTGATCCCTGGCTTTACCTCTGCACTGAGGCCTGTGCATAGCTGGCTTCCAGTCGTCAGGGTGAGGACCTGGGGAAACAAGGAGGGGGACAATGTCAGCTACACAAGGCTTTGGCATATAAGCCTTCCTCGCTGTGTTCTGAGAGCCACTGAGACAGATACCGGACACCCCAAGAGTTTTCCAATTACACTCAGACTACAAGATGAGGACACTGCCGGGCGTTGGTGATGCACGCCTTTAATCCCAGCACTTGGGAGGCAGAGGCAGGTGGATCTCTGTAAGTTCGAGACCAGCCTGGACTACCAAGCGAGTTCCAGGACAGCCTCCACAGCCACAGAGAAACCCTGTCTCGAAAAAAACCAAAAAAAAAAAAAAAAAAAAAAAAGATGAGGACACTTGTGACCACCCTGTAGGGGGTACTGCTAAAGACAGGGGTTAAGGTTCAGATGTTTCCGCTTAAAATTCCTAGACCAGTTAGTTGCCTCAGTTTCCCCATCTGCAGATGGGACAGCTTGTGGTAATCCCGGGCACTACTTACCGGCCGGGTGACTTTGGTCAAGGCACAGCCTCCCCACAGGCCACAGTCTGGCAAGTACACAGCCAAGCTCCGCTGAACAGGGCAGCTTTGGCCTTTCTGCAAATGCACACAGAATGGCCCAGAAACACACACTCAAACACACTACCACAGCACACACTGATGTATACGGAGATGTGCCTACACACATCCATGTTCATAGACACATGCCCGCAGGACACACATCTGTGTACATGGACACACACACGTATGAACATGGACACATGTCTACAACACACACACACAGCACTGGGGTGTGCTCTGACAGCATATGCAGCCATGCTCTCAGACATGTCTCCTCATACAACATTCACCATCGCAGCCTGCCCCCGAGTATGGACAACTGCCCCCAGCTCGCTAGCTCCTGTTTTGAGCACACTGCGCCAGCGCATGGCCCCTGAGTAGGGTCGCACTCCCACAGTGGAGGTGCTGGTGCACGCAGACACATCTGCACAGCACACACAGGCTGCACAGATCCAGGCACCCTTGGCTCCCCGCACAGCAGCTCACACTCCTGCCCACTCTCACACCCTTGCTCTGCTGAGCGCCAACTGTTGGCGCGCGAGGGGGGGGGTCGAAGCCCACGACTCAGCGAGGAAGAGGGGCGGGCGGGCGAGGAGATGACAGCCCGCGGTCCCCCTCGAGTCCCGGCTCATGAATATTAATGCGGCGGTAATTAAAATGCAGGGACGCAGCAGGATGGATGCGGTGCCTCCGGAGCGCCGTGCGGCGCGGGCGGGTGGAGCGGCTCCACGACCGAGGCCAGGCCGGGGACACCTGCGTCCCGGTCCCCTCCGCCCCCGCGCCCTCGGGCGGGCCGCGCGCCAGGCCGCCTTCCCGGAGCCGCCTTCCTGCGCGGCCTCTGATGTCAGAGGCTCAAAACTTTCCGCTTCCCGCCCGGCAGCCTCGGGCCCTGAGTCATCGCCGCCCCCCGGAGCCCTGGCCCGCGACGTGTTTGTGCAGAACCAGGCTCCGCTGGCCCTGCCTGACGTCAGGGCCAGGGCCGCCAGGCCGCACAGCTGGGACGATGCCACCCGGGGGGCCTAGAGGAGGGCGTGCACCTGCTTTTCTAGGTTCAGCGACGCTCGCTGCCTGACCTTGCACAGGGCCTTTTTGTCCCTGGGGAACTCCGACTTCCTCATTTGCCTCTTAGCAGATGGTCCACAAATCTTTACAGCCTTGTGAGGTGTGGTGGCTCCTTGCCCACGACCCTGTCCAGTACTCCTGAGGCTGAGGCAGGAGCGTGGCTGGGAGTTCAGTCCAGGCTGGGCTGCAGTGTGAAACCTTGTCTAAAAAGAGGAGGAAGAAGAGAGAAAGGTTGGGGGGAAGCTGGTCGAGGTAGGAGTACCTTTAACCCAAGCTCTCTGCAGACAAGAGGATCTCTGCATGTTCAAACCCAGCCTGGTCTACTTAGCCAGCTCCAGGCCAGCCAGAGCTGCAGGGAGTCTCTGTGTCAAAAAACAAAACAAAGCCGGGCGTTGGTGGCGCACGCCTTTAATCCCAGCACTCGGGAGGCAGAGGCAGGCGGATCTCTGTGAGTTCGAGGCCAGCCTGGTCTACAAAGTGAGTTCCAGGACAGCCTCCAAAGCTACAGAGAAACCCTGTCTCAAAAAACCAAAAAAAAGGGGGCTGGAGAGATGGCTCAGCGGTTAAGAGCACTGACTGTTCTTCCAAAGGCCCTGAGTTCAATTCCCAGCAACCACATGGTGGCTCATAACCACCTTGAATGAACTCTGATGCCCTCTGCTGGCATGCAGGTAGAAGATTGTATACATAATAAATAAATAAAATATTAAAAAAACAAAACAAAAAGCAACAAAACAAAACAGAATACAAAAAAAAAAAAACCAAACCAGTCAAAATTTAGAGAAGAAATGGCTATGGGATGTCCAACCCAGTCGATACATCTGCAGCACAACTCCTACATCTAACACAGGGGAAACTGAGAAAGATGGGACAGAGAGACTGTAAGAGCCAGGGGCCAGCACATCTGCTGTGAGATGTGTCTTCCAAACATGACAAGAAAGCTGCACCCATGAAATCTCAACAACATGCTCACCTAAACAAGGCCTCCATAATGACAGCACCTGTGGACACGCCCATACACACTCACACACTCACACACACACACAGGTGGGAATCTCACAGGCCCCACCCCTAGATGAAGAGCTACAGCCAATCGGTGGACAAGCCCCTTGGCATGTTATCCAATCCCAAATGGTCAGCCATAAACACATCCCTGTGTAAGAACACTGGCTGGACTCAGTAGGTCATGTGTGTGTATGTGTGTGTGTGTGTGTGTGTGTGTCAACAATAATTAAAGACTGGGGGAGAGATGTCCCCCACCCGACGATACCTGAGCTGGCCCTGAGGCGGGAAGGGCAGGAGAGTTGGCCCTGCCGGCCACCAGCTGCAGTACTTGGGAGAGCAGGCCCTGCACCTCTCCTGGGCCCCACCAGAGAACCAACCCCATTGACAGAGGTGTGGGTGAGGCATCCCTGATACTGTGAGCATTGAGGAGCTGTCCCCATTCCTCAAGCGGTGGCTTGGGTGGGAGAGAGATTCCCCTCCATGCATCCCCCTGACACACACACACACACACACACACACACACACACACACACAATGCTTGAGGCCGGTGAGAAAGTTGGCCCTGAGGTCATAAAAGCAGGAGAGCTGCCCATGTCTCTCATCAGCTTCAGCACTCAGGAGAGTGGCCTGTAGGCCTGCCTGGGCACCATAGTGGAGCCTGGCCTCAGTGGGTGGGTGTGGGAGACCAACCCCCCCCCCCGCCCCCGGGGAAGGGGGTGAAAGCAGGAGAACTGGCCCCGCTCAAGGCTGCAAAGGTGGACTCGGGAGGCCATGCAGGAGAGCTCACCCTGGTGGTGAGAACAAGGGAGAGGTTGTGGCGGGCTGACCAAACCTGCAACTGCCCAGGCACAGAACCAGTCATGGGTTCCCCACCCCAACATCCACCCCATCTGTGATCTGCTGGAGTACATGAAGGCACCGGTCCTGTAGACCCAAAGCCGCAGGGTCTCCATGACAACAGGACACCCAAGAGGAGTCCCAGTGAGGGCCCAGCATCGACAGTGTAGCAGAAACCAGAGGCCTCGAACCAGACCAATGACTCTTTGCAGTGAACAGCTGCAAGACGTGTGGATAAAAGGGCTTAGCGTGTGACTCACTGCCTCACCCTACAGTTTCCATGAAGATTTTCTCCTTCTTGGTTTCTTTTTCTCTTAAATTTTATTGGGGGGCTGCAAGGGCAGAGGGAGGGTACTCGGGGACAGGAAATGCATGGAATTGAGATGCATGGTGTGAAAGACACAGGAATAAATGAAAGAGAGCTAAAATAATATTAAGGAAAGGTCATGATGGATAGAAAAAAGAGAATAAAACCTGCAGACTAGGAGCTGGAGAGATGGCTCAGAGGTTAAGAGCACTGACTGCTCTTCCAGAGGTCCTGAGTTCAATTCCCAGCAACCACATGGTGGCTCACAACCATCTACAATTCAATCTGGTGTATATGTAATAAATAAATCTTTTAAAAAAAACCTGCAGACTATGGAGCTAATTTCCTCAGGCTGGGTAAACGGAGGCCGGGGTGAGGAAGGGTCCCACCACCGGGCCAGTTAAGGGATGACTTGGATGAGGGCACCACTGACGTGAGGTCTGGGTTCGAATCCCAGCTCGGGCTCCGGTCACCTCCTTTGCCCTCCAGCCACAGGCACTGGGAGACTGGCTAGCAAAGCCGAAGCAGCTCTTGGCCGCCACACAGAGAGTGAGTCTCCAGCACGGCCAGCTTGCTGGCTCTTTCCTGGCTGTTTGGCATTACCATTTTTGGGACCCAACTTACAGAGGGAAAACTAAGACTAAGCTGAGCTGTTGCTCTCAGGGCCTGTTTGGGGGTCAGGGTGGGGCCAGGATCTGCTCCAGCCCCTCCCCTGCTCCCCCCTCCCCTGCTGTTGTTCCTCACCTCTGCCTAGCATCCCTCCCTAAACCAGCAAAAACCCTCGCTTGGGCAGAGGCTGGGACTCACCAGCTCTGGGCTCCCTGCCCACACTGTGGAAGCTAACGGACCTTGTAGGCAGCTACTGCCTCCCCCAACACCCACTCCCCGCCTCAGCCATGCTGGGGTTCTTTCAAGTCCTCCGTGCTCCTTCCCCAGGACTCCTCCTCATGCCTCCAGGACTCCTCCTCATGCCCCAGGTCTCTGCACAGCACTGGTACAGTTCTCACTGCTGGAAGACTCCCTGCCTCACCCTGCTTTTCCAGTTAACTCCATCTCTCCTTAGCTCTTCCCTCGGGGTGTGTCCCAGTTAGCACCACCCCAACACACTCACACTCACACACACTCACACACTCACACTCACTCACACACTCCATCCGTGTGGGCGGAGACTCACCCCTCCCCCGTCACACAACCCATTCTGCACATCACAGGTCTCTGACACGGGCTCTCTTCAAGTCAGCCAGGTCTCGAATGACTTCCAGCCTTGTCCCTGGTGGCATGGACCTCCACTGAGGGCAGGAACCCTGGTATAGGCTTCTGTGGTCCAGTGCCAGACCCCAGTGCCAAGTCTTGCTCAGAGGCCAGCCCCTACCTCCTCAACTTCATAGTCCTCGCTGCCGCAGCCCCATCAGCCAGGGCTGTCCCTCCAGTGGGCCAGTCTTCACTGTCTCCCAGTCACTTTTCTGACTCCTACTGCAGCTCAGGGCTACAGGCCTAAGGTCACCTCTGTCTTGAACCTCTCAACCTTCTCATCTGTAAAGTGGGACAATACTGAAGATTACCTTGTTAAAAGTCAGCAATGTGTCCTGGTGGGAATCTTGTGTGGCCAGAAAATAAGGTGGGTGAGCGTACAGGGGAAAGAGAAGCAGCCAGTCGACATGCCTGCAGAGTGTGCCTCTCCTGTTCCCTTGAGTACCAAGGTGTCTCCCAGCAGAAAGCCAGCGCCCACAGAGTGGGGCACATCCTTTCATACGCAGAAATGGGGAGACCAAGAGCCTAGAGGAGAGGGCGCGAGACTTTGGGAAGGTAGCGTCTCCCCTCTATAGAATCTGAACTTGTGTAGCAAGAATTGGGACACAGTCCAGCAGAGAGGCAGCAAGGGAGTAAAGGCAGTGTGAAAAAACGGGGAGGAAGGCTGTGGGGGCGGGGCCCAGGAGCCGCCATGCTCACCGGCAGCTGTGTCTAGGGGTTCGGATGGTAGCTTCACTGGTGGAGTGCTTGTCTAGTATGTGCAAGGGTTTGGGCGCCAGCATGAAGTCAGGCATGGTGACCCAGGTTTGCGATCCCAGCACTCAGGACAGGGAGGCAGAAACATTAGGAACCCATCCTGGGCTGTGTAGCAAGCTTAAAGCTAGCCTGGCTGCATGAGATTCTGACTTTTAAAAACGTGGGGAATAAAAGCCCTTACCAGGCAATGGCAGAGCATGTCTTTAATCCCAGGACTCAGGCAGAGGCAGAGGCAGGAGGCAGAGGCAAGGCGGATCTCTGTGAGTTCAAGGCCAATCTGGTCTACAGAGAAGTTCCAGGACAGTCAGAGCTGTTACACACACACACCTTGTCTCAAAAAACAAAAAACAAGCAAAGCAAAACAGTCTTTAAACATGTTACCATGGACCCATATGGACCCCAGAATTCCTTCTGGAATTTTCATCAGTTCAGTTCCCTATCTTTAAATATGTTCTGCACACCTTTGCCTTAGCAGGGAGCAGGGTGTCTAAAGGCAAACTTGGGGGGCTGGAGAGATGGCTCAGAGGTTAAGAGCACTTGCTGCTCTTCCAGAGGACCTGAGTTTGATTCCAGCACCCATACCAGGCAGCTTATACCATCTGTAACTCTAGATCCAGGGGATCTTACACCTGTGACAGTGAGAGCAGCACAGGTTGGACCTGTCTGTGACAGTGAGAGCAGCACAGGCTAGACCCATGACAGAGTGATAGGACAATCTGGTGATCTGACCGGGTACTCAGGTCCAGCCTCTCCGATGGGTTTGGGGAATCTGTCTGAATGGAGATGATGTTTTATGACGGTGTGGCTAACTTGACTGATAAGCCGGGAGCATAGGCAGGTGGACCAAAGTCCTTATGTCCCCATTCCGCCATGTCAGCCATGTGCTAGTGACATCCTTACAGCCCAGGAAGCACCCAGACCTCAGTGAACCATGACAGATGAAGAAACAGGCTGGTGGGCGGTGACTCTTTGAAGCCCACACTGCTATTCCAAGGAGGTGGCAGGATTCACACTCGGACCACACTGAAACCCAAGTTCTGTGTACCAGGCTGCCCTGCCTCTATTCCTTGGCAGACAAGCAGTGTGCATTTCACAGAGAAGCCTGGGGGAATGGTTGGTGGGAGGCAGGCACTAGCTGCAGGACGGGGTCATCAGCGGAACTGGTGGACAGTCACAAGACACAGCCCCGACCCACGTTAGTACTGGGAGGAATCTCCAGGGGTCACTCCTCTGGTCGGTCCTACTGTGTACAAAGAGAAGCTTCAGTTTAGAGAGATAGAAACATTTGTCCAAAGACGCACAGCAAGATATTGCATGTAGCCAAGAGGGAGATGGGCCACCCGGTTTTGATCTGGGTCTGTGGCTTGCCTCTTGTGTCACAGAACCTCTGTGCCTAGTGTCCTTGTTCCAGAGAACCGGAACATGAGGTCCCTTTATAAAGGGACCGTGAAACCGGGCGTTGGTGGCCCACGCCTTTAATCCCAGCACTCGGGAGGCAGAGGCAGGTGGATCTCTGTGAGTTCGAGGCCATCCTGGTCTACAGAGCGAGTTCCAGGACAGCCTCCAAAACAATACAGAGAAACCCTGCCTCAAAAAACCAAAAAATAAATAAATAAATAAAGGGACCGTGAGGAGTCGGTGTGGGTGCAGAGAGCACATGGCACATCCTAGCTGTCCTCTCAGAGGATCTAGAATCCGCTGCGATCCAGTGATCCCCTGCAATGCCCAGTGACCCCTCCAGGAGCCCCACTTCCTGGTGGGCACTGGGCTGGAGTGAAGCAAGTTGGCCAATGGACGCCCCACACATCATCACCTCCTGCTGTGTGATTTCTGCTGGGCTGGGGGTCGGGGAAGGCCCCCCCCAGGTGAAGAGCAGGAAGCATGGCTCCACGCTGAGCACGTGGGAACGTAAGGACCCAGTAAAGAAGGGAACGCAATGTGTCCTGTGTGCTACCTAATCCGAGGAACTGGGGCCAGGGCCCGGAGCTCAGCTACAGGAGTGAGAAGGGAGGTGGCCCTGGGAAGAGCCAGCCATCAGTGGGGCATGACGTGGCAGGGAACTCAGAAGCCAGCCCTGCTGCAAAGGCAGAGTGCCTGGGCGACCTAGAGGGGCTGCCAGGTGAGCATGGCCAGGTGAGCATGGCCAGGTGAGCGTGGGAGAGGCGCACTAGGAGGGGGCAGGAGAGTTGTAGGTGGGCACAGGCTTGGCGCTTGGTTTAGGGGATCAGATGGAGAGCCTGCGGTGGCTTCTGGGATATAGCCAGGGTGGGCAGAAGCAAAGGGCAGAAGAAAACTGCAAGAAAGGAGCCCCAGGGTCCAGTGAAGGCCCCCCCCCAGCTGCAGCTGCAGCCCAGGACACTTGGCAAGAGCTCCTCCACTCCAGCTTCAAACTGGTGATTCAGGGAGCAGCACGGTTGTAGCCCTACACCCTAGGGCCTGGAGCTCCCTCCTCAGAGACCCCAGCCCACCTCTTGGGCCCTGGGGATTGTCCAAGGTGTCATGTGGGCACCCTCAGACCTCAGGTGACCAGCAGATGGCTGTCTGTGGGGCTGGGGGCCTGAGTGACTGACGCTCAGATTGCAGTGCCCACCCACAGCTCCCATGTACGAGCAGCCTGTGTGGGACCATGAGATTTGGCACACAGGGAGCTGAGGGGTCTGGAAGGAAGCTAGGCACTGGGCACTCCCTTCTGGACACCAGGAAAGTGAGAGCTGGAAGTGCAAACCCAAACCCAGTCCTGGAGGCCTGTGTCTGTCCTAAGAAAGGCAGGTTTGTCAGGGAGGAGGAAGGGAATTTGATTTAGCTGTTTTAGCCTGGTTTATAACTTGAAAACACTCAGGTAAGCCTGGTGGGTCTCTGTGCACACTCCTCCATCCTCCCTCCCACTGCCCACAGAGAAACAAACCTTTCGGGCCCTAAGGTACCTTCAGACCTACCCAGCCCCCTCTTTGTACCTGCCCCAGGGTCCTCAGCCGTTGGGGGTTCTGTCCCAGATCATATCCCTGGAGACTGAGTTTCTCTGTCACTGGTCAACTTCAGGGGGTTTGCTGGGTCTGCCCAGCTGGGCACAGCTCTGCCTCTCCTTCAGGAAGCAGCACCTCCCTGCAGAGCAGAAGCCTATGAGAAACCCGGCTCTGAGCCTGGCTGGGTGTATAACCTTGAGCCATTTGTTCCCGTGAAACCCCATCTTTCCAAAGGTACCACTTGCACGTAGGCGCCTTGTGGGACGCAGAGCCCACGTGTGCCCTGCATTTGGCAAGCACATGGCAGGGATTAGGAAGGGCGCAAGTTACATCATTCACTTCTTTTTACAGCTGAGAAAAACAAGCCAAGGCTCAGCGAGGTGCATCAGTCTGCCCAAGGTCACACAGCCCGGAACAGGGCAGGGTTGTCCCACTTAGGCAGCACCCACGGGACTATGCGGCCAAGCCTGTGCCTTCTTCACTGCTCCCCAAGCCTTTCAGCTCTCCAGCTCGGCAGGCCACGTGACGGCAGTGAAGGGTGGGTGGCAGAACGCAGCTTGCAGGGAGGAACGGGTTAATGAGCTCCGCCGCATTGGGCCGGCCTCCAGGAGAGCCAGCCAATGAGCGCGCTTGGTGATGAGGTAATGCTGGGACGCGAGTGGGCGGGGTCTGAGTGGACGCCGCTGCTCCTCCTGGCGTTCTGCTCTCCTTAGCAACCCCTCACCTTTGACCTTGACATCCCGGCTCCTCTCTCAATCTTGGGGGACAGAGATCACTAGCCCCCTGCAGCACTAAGCCTCAAGATCTGCTGCAGGTGTCCAGAAGCATCCTGGCCTGCGTCACACCCCCTGGGCCTCAGTTTCCCTTTCTGCAATTTTTTAATTGTAAAAGGTCCTTCCAGTGGGGGACCTACGTGGATCCCAGGGCAATAAATAAGCAGTCTTTCCTTGCTTTCGACCTCTGCCCTGTTCCGGTGGCTGCCAGAGTCTGGGACCAAGGAGTCACACCCTCCACACGGCGCCGACCCATCCTGGGGGGGGGGGGGCACACCTGACCAGTCCTGCCTACTTCCTACTAAGTCGGGAGCTAGCCAGAGCAGCAGCAGGCTCGCAATGGTAGTGAGAGGGCAAAGTTCATACAGCCACCCGTCTTAGCTGAGCTAGATTAGCTGAGTGTCTGCTACACGCCCAGAACTCGGGCTCCGGGTGGCCAATGTACGCGGCGCGCTGCAGGCCGCCCGGGCACGAAGCGGTTAACGCCCTTGCCGCGAGCTGGCAGAGCAGGCTGCCCGGCTTATTAGTCAGCCGGCGGGGAGGGGGCGGAGGGAGGGAGGGAGGGGTTCAGTGGAGAGCCGCAGAAAGCTATTCTCAGGGGCTCCCGAGTGTGGGGAGGGCGGCTCAGCGGGAACTGCCGCTTCCCAGAAAGTTGATTATTTTTAACCCAGGAAGAAGAAAGGAAGGAGGCCCAGGGAGGACTCAGAGAAAGGAGGAGAGGAGAGATGAGGAGAGGAGAGATGGGGGAGCAAGGAGGGAGAGAAGGGATTTGGAGGGGAAGAGCAGGGCAGGGAGGAAGCAGAGGCTGAGGTTCCCCGCAGCAAGGGCTGGGGGGGGGGGGGTGCTCTGGCCAGATCCAGGGAAAGGAATGGAGGTGGGGTCACTGCTCCTGCCGCACCTACCCTCGCTGGACCCACTGTCCCGCTGGCTTTCAGGGGCTTGAGGGAGGGGAGCAGGCACGGGGCGGTCTCTCCTGGGAGTGCTTTCAGGTCAGTGGGTGGCACAAGGACTGGTCCTTGTTCTGGTCTTCATGATGACTCCTGGCACTCAGCGTAGAAACTCTGGGAAGAGAACAAAGGGATGTCTTGGTGCTTGGACAGGGAGGGGACACACCGGGTAGGGGCCCCAGGTCACTTTCTCTACCTCTAGGTGGTGTCGGGCTGACAAGGCACCTTAGAGGAGGGAGCTGGGTTCACAGCGCCAGACAAGCCGGAACAGCTGGCTCACAGGGCTCACACCGTTTCAGGGGAGGATGAGCTGGGCAAGTCATTTTAAGAAAATGCAGCAGATTGAAGTACCAGGGGCCTAGGCAGGCTGCTGGTGGGATGATGGGGGTGGGTGTGATCTCAGCAGGGGTCAGGTGTCTCCTACAGAAGGGTCATGAGGACCTACTAGGGTGACTCACTAATGCCAGGGAAGACAGGACTAACAGTCCCCAGGCCTCAGATCCAAGTGGCCTAACAGTTCCTGAGACTAGAAGGTTTTAGAAGGCTCACAGAACAGAAAGAACAGGCTTCCTAGCTCCCTGGCGTTGTAGGCAACAAGGAGCCTAGAGCAGTCACTAGAAGCCAACCACTCGGTGCCGGCTTCAGGAGAAGACTGGGATAGCCTTCCCTGGGACGGTACCTCTGGGCCCTGGGAGCTAAAACCAAGCTTGGTTTGGGGTATGCAGGACAGGACTAGTTTGTGTGAAGGAGCAATCATGGAGCCTCCTGGGCTCTGGCTGTGTGAGAATGGGGACTGGTACCGTGTAGGAGGGAAGGGACAGCTCACAGGGACAGACCCACGGGAGGTCAGGTTTGCTAATCTGAGGGCGTGGTGGGGAGAGCTGGGTGTGCCAGGTAGAAGGAAGGCACTTAGACAAGGACTGAAGGAGCTGCGGTGGTGTTGCAGAAAATGCTAGAATCTTGGTGGACTGAGACCCACCATGGTAGGTCTGCAGTGCCAGGAGAGGAATCTGAGCCTGTGGTGGCAATGGCAGGCATGTGTGCAGGCAGAGGAAGGGGCACCGTTTCTGTGCTGGATCCAGCGAGGCACAGCAGACAGGACAGTGTGTGGCCAGCAGGGTTGAGCCTCTGCCAGACAGGGCCCATGCTTGGGAGCAGGAAGGGGTCGGGCATGGGTGGGCATGGGTGGGCATGGGTGAAGAGCCTCGGATGTGGCATGCACGGTTCTTGCTCTGAGGGCCACGCCTCCGCTTGTGATGGGTTGACAGGGACCCAGCTACCCTGGAGCCCTGGCCAGCTTCTGACCCTTCCCCAGCAAGCCATCTGGGGCTGCTCTGCCCCTGACTTTACCCCACAGAGCATAGGAAGAGCCTCACAAGGTCACTTCCTACCCCCAAGTGCTGGCAGGGGACTGTCCTGCAGGATAAAGAGTAGAGCTCAGCATAGGCTTGACCCACTGGACCAGGAGCCTAAGCTAGGGGAGAGTTGGAGCTATAGCCTGGCCTGAAATCAGGGTCACCACAGAGCCAGAGTGCAGAGTCCCAGCTGCCCTGGAACAGAGGCTTGGAACTGAGTCCTGGGACAGCGTGTCTCAGTTTCCCTCCTGCGCATCTTCTGACTCTGAGCTGTGTTCGCAGCTTGGGAAACCCAGGACCTTGGGGCGCCACCCCTACCCTCCAACCAGCATTACCAATGCCAAGGGTCTGAAGAATGGTGACACAGAGGACCGGGAAGGTTCCAGTACACACAAGGAGGTTCTCATCCTCCAGGTCTGCCGGCCCTGCCATGCCGAATACCATCCTTGTCATCAGCCCTGCTGCGGCCATCCCACTCATCTCTTCCTCCAGGGGCGTTCCACCTAAATCTAAAGGATATGGCTGACTCTGCTTTCAGCCCGCCTCCCTCCATCCCTAGCTCCCTCTGCAAAGTGGGTCTGCAATAACAGTTCCTGAACCCTTGGAAGCAGAGAAGGACAGGCCAGGCTGTCAGTCACAGGCCTGAGACCCGACGGTTTGACAAGGGTGCAGGCTAGAGTCCTCTAAGGGGGGAGGGACCCAGACTTCCCACCATCCGCTGTGAGAAGCCAAGCTCAGAACAGTTGGCCAGGGCCCCAGAATTGTGCCTCCTGCTCTGTCCCCACCAGGCGTCTCTGAGCTTCAGGGATCTGTCCCCCTCAACAGGGCCTGTGGAGCATAAAGGGGGGAGCCCAGGCACAGAAAGAGCCGCGGGCGGGCGGCAGCCGGGCAGGCAGGCTCTGAGCGGCTTTGCTGGGCTTTCTTCTTCCTCCCTCTTTCTTTGTTAAGCCCCTTTTCAGCTGCACAGGCAGAGCCTGGGTGTTCCGAGCTGACAATAATTGCTGCGTCTAGACAGTGTCTGGTAGGAGGCCTCCTCTGTGCCTGCCGGCCTCCCTGAGGCTCCCAGGCCTGGCCCACAGCCCCTGCCCGGCACCCTCGGATGGTTCCCACACCCCTGCCCCTCTGTGGATACCAAGGGCCCCCGAGTCTGTCCGCCTCCTGATTTAGCCTTGGGAGTACATCTCTCCTTCTCCTAGCCTAGGGTCCACAGTCTCCCCACTTTCTTCCATTTTGTGGCCTACAGTTCAGAACAAGATACTGTCCAGGCACTGGGTGCTACCGGAGGCCTTCCTCTGAAGGAACCAGAGTTCAACACATGCTTGGCAAAGTGGCTGCCAAGGAGGTCAGGGCAGCTCCCCTTGCTGGGTTCTGAGCTGAGCCCAGAATCTCCAGACTCAATGTTAAAATGCTCTTCTAGATCCCCATCCCCTTCCCGACCAAAAGCCCAACAAGAACACGCAGGAATCAGCTTAGAAAGACAGAATTTCCCAGACTGCTGCAACCAGTCATGGATGGGTGTTTCCAAGACACTGGGGATAGGGACAAGAGACCAATGTCAAGAGCTCTGAGCTCCATCTGTGCCCGGCTCAGCCCTGCAGCTCTGGAAAATTCCCCAGAGTCCCCAAGAGGATGTTGGGGCAGGAGCTCAGGGTGAGCCAGGAACAGCGGCAATAACAACAGTCCGCTCAGCCCTGCCCAGCTCTGAACACTGTGCAGACTCTGTTTGCATCTTAATGTGCTTAACGCTCCCCAGGAGAGGCCCTGGGAGACAAGGGGAGCTAGAAAAAAATCCAAATAAGGCTCTGATTAGCACCTTTTTAATTTTATTTTTTTTGTCTTGTGGGGTGGTAGTATGTACATGCTCATGTGTGTGTTTGCATGTGTGAGGGTGCAAGCCTGTGGACGCCAGAGGTCGCTGTCCAGAGTCTTCCCTCCAGACTTGTGTTTGGAGACAAGGCATCTCATTCAACACAGGGCTCACTAATTCAGCTGGGCTAGCCAGCAAGCGCCCTGGATCCTCCTGTCTGTGCCTCCCCAGCCCTGGGGTAAT